GGAATTCCACTGCCCGCTATGGATACCCCTACTTTTTGCTCTCCCGCGCTGTTGCCGGAGTATGTGAAGTTCGAAAAAAGCGGAGCAGCGAGTCGCTCTTGGAAATTGGTTTCGTTCAGTGCAAGTAAAATCCTCCTCTCTGTTTGCCGATAGATGATGAATTTCTCTGGGGGGGGAGCGAGGTTATGGACCACCGACATTTGCATTTTCTCTTATGAGAATGTGTCTTGGAGAAGTTTAAACAGCCTTACTTTTCGCAGTAGGTAATCTGAAGATAGCAGCAGCACTCGGGAAGTGCTGGAAATATTCGGAGTTGGATTTTGGCCTCCAATTAGCTGCCAAGTTTTTTGTTGCAGGGCATGCTGCTAAAGTTTATCTGGGGAGCAAGGCTGGTTATTTGCTGGCACTCAGTGGAGCTCGAGGAGGTTTGCTCTGCTTTCTTTTTTTGCCAACTGTTTGTGTGTCAGAGCAGCTTCTGCTTTAAGTTTTAACGGATTGCAGAGACCAGACGAACAGGCTTACTGGCATTTGTCATTCACCAATACTCCTTTGTAAAACAGTATTACAATTTCTGTAGATTAAGTAAAATTTATATATATTTCTAAAAAATTCGCTTCAGTCTGCATGTTTGGAAGTAGATAGTTGTTGATGTCCTATTGTGGAATACCACATGCATTAACTGTCCCAATGTTGTAAAAATCGTAAAATTCAAGTCTGCATAATCAGATATACGTTCATAACTTTCTATGCGTTTTGTGCTGTGCAACAGCTGCACAGAACGCATATTTTCACAAGCTTTTCTGTGTATGTAAGGGTGTTTGCGTGTTCGTTTGTGTGTGTGTTTGTTTGTGTGTTTATTTTTGTGTGTGTGTGTGTTTAGTGTATATGTGTGTGTGAGTGTGTGTATGTGTGTGTGTGCGTGTGTGTGTGTGCACGAGTGCATTTTGTTTGCAACTTTCAACTCGGGGGCAAAAGCTAGGAAGCTGAAATTTTAGGGCAGTGTCACCTGCCCACTTTCGACCCTGCAGATTTTAATTCAGCCTTCCCACACAGCCGGGTATCACGTACGGCCTCGTGAAAATTTCGTTGAGGAAATTGTCTCGGGAACCATAAAAAAGAGGGACGCACCGCTCTTTATTCGTTTTCTGCCTATGAGCTTCGTTATGTTATTACACTTCCTGGTATATATATATATATATACATATGTATATATATATATATGTATGTGCATATGTATACATATGTATATATGGCAAGAGTATCGCGTGTATATGCCAAGAATACTGTTAAATTGCGATAACTCATTTAGGTGAATTTATGGTTGCTTTGGAGGTTTCGCTAGGAATCCTGGTGACTTCTTTTTATGCGTTTTTTGCATGTTTGCAATGCAAAAAAAGTATCTCTGTGCATGTCTGTATGTGTGTGTGTGTGTCTGTATATGCGTCCACGTATGTCTTAATGAATTCAGACCCAGGCCTCCGGGGTATGCGTGGTTCCTACGTACGGGCCAGTAAATATTTTTGGCGGGTAAGTTGTTGATTTTGGAACCAAGAAAACTAGAAAGCTAAAATTTTAAGGAGGTGTTTCCTGACAGCCCTGGCGGCCCGTTTCAGTTCGCGTAGCTAGAAGCATCTGCCGGAAAAGCCGGTACTGTTAGCAACAAAAATCTGCGGGGAACTACGCAAAAAACGCATCTTCACACCAGCAGTAGGTGCGCTGGCTATTTGTTTTTTTTTTTTTTTGGATGAATGAAACAGTAGCCATATGCTTTGAATTTGTTAATGAGATGAAAAGTGCTCGTATTTTGCGGAGGCCTGGAGCTGTCTATGCATAAACCCTTATTCCATTTGCTCCTTGTCTGCAGCGTTCGTTTATTTTACAGACAAACGTGGCTACGATTTGTTGATGTGTCGTTCATTTGAGAAAAAAGCAGTGAGCGAATTGTGTTGTATTGCGAGGCACGACATTTTGCTTTGCTTGACGGATTCGCAACTTGCCGTGCACGACCTCTCCGAGCCGTTCGCTTTGAAAGCGCTGATCGCCGATGTGAGGCCCATCTACGCCTTTTGCGCCACTGTCTCTGAGGTATTTATCCATTCATAATGAGCTGCATGTAGGTTTCGTTTTAAGCCATTAGCGCACTTGCTGCCTAGTTCTCGCTGTCCTCGCCTTCATAGTCTTTTGCAGTCAAATACACCACAATCACCGGAATGGATCGAAAATGCAATGGGCTTAATGAAATGGGGTACTGTACTGATGAATCCCACCCCATTTCGCACCGATTCTCCCGTCTGTGTCTACAGTTCAGGGATGAAACACAGACGTCGCCAACTCTAAATACCGGTTTGCATAC